CCGCACCAGTATCTAAAAGGCTGTTCAGCTCAACAGATTTTTTAGCTTTAGTTAGAGTACATTTTACCTGAGGTTAACCTTGTGTCACTGCCTGAGCCCAAAATATTTGAGGAGTACCTGTTGATCCAAATCCTAAGTCACTGTGGCTTCTCAGCATACTATTAGGGGGAACCACAGTAAAAATAAACAAGCTGAGCAATTTTTGACCCTTTTGTTACTGAACACGGGGGTACAGTGGTCCAGGCCATGATCCTGATTTCCCCTTCATAATTGGCATCTATGATGCCCCTGGTAAAAGGAACAACCCCTGTAAGGTTGTAGATGATCTTCTGACAGTATCCCCCCCAGGTAGATGGTACAGAGGTGCACTCTCCCCGCAGAGTACTCACCTAAATTCAAGACAACAATTAACACAGAATTACTGACTCCTGCTAGAGGAGATATTTCACCTGAGACACTTAAAACCCTGAGCCCCAACAAACCGCAGCCCCGATGCCCCAGCAGGCGGGCACTAGGCTCTGCACTACGGGACGTTCACTCGCCCTGCGCTGCCCCCGTGCAGAGTCTGCCCTGCGCTTTGTTCCTCTCTGGTCGCGTCCCCGGGGGGTCAGAGAACCCCGCCCTGCGCAGCGGCAGCTGGGCCGCGCCTCACACCTGCAGAACAACCATGCAAAGAGGCGCCTTACACTGACACTGACACAACATAAAATGACAAATACTACAAATATCAAAACACCATCAGGAATACATAAAGCCACTGCCAGTTGATGCTGTGGTGCTGACAGACAAGGGACAGTGCATCACAGGGTCACACCTGCTGGACAAACCGCCGCTTCTGGCGGGGGGGGCGAGAGCGCGGTGCCAGAGGCTGCAGTCGGTCACTCCGCAGGGGGGAGCTCAGGGAGGCCCCGGGCTGCCACCGCCAGCTCCGCACCTGCAGGTGTGGGGGGGCAAATGCTGAGCACAGAGATCCATCCACATGCTCGGTTTTCCAGATAGAGTGCTGTGCTCATAGCTTACAGGAGCAACAATCTTTCTTGCCATGGCCATATCCTCTTGCACCAAGGCTTCTTGCCTCACTTTTACCCACGGATCATCCCCAGATAAGGGAGGACACAGGACAGATTCTCTTTTCAGGATTTACAGCGTCAGGGTCTAAAAGATTATCACAGTCAAAAGACCCAGCATATCAATCTTGCTCCTGAGGTTCAAACTAGGCATCCTCACCCTCTGTGTTCTCATTCTCTGTGTTAACAGCCTGGCCGATTTCATTACCTTGTCTTTTTATTATCTCAAAAATAATTCTCCATGCTGGTAAGAATTCTGCCGTAACCTGATTCCCTCGTGTTGCACAGTCCCATAATCTTAGTCTGGCTTTATCCCATGTTAGAACAGTGAATATAGTAAACGCAGTGCTACCCACTTTAAAATTCTCTTCAAGGCATGCGAGTTAATATGAACTTTATATTTAGCCAACAGTCTTTCCATCAGTGAAATCACTGAGTTTTCTTCTGAGGGTATTAACCTACCCATTGCTTCCCACAGCTCACCTTGCTCACGCTGCAACGGTGATTGACTGTCGGATCCTGCTTCCTTTCAGCAGCTACTTAAGTTCTGTGGGGGTTGCCACTGGAGCGATCCAAGTTGGTCACGCTTATTCCAAACTCACACAGGGCACCACTTGTGGCAACCGAGGCACGGACTCTCAATTGAAGTGCAGAAGGAAAGACCCTTTATTATTACAACAGCACATACTTACGCTCTTGCCAAAGCTCTTATTTTATAATTAGCAAATCAGCAATTAGATAGCTATCAATCCTTTCTCCTACCAGCATAAGACCACTCTCACACGCACTGTTCACGCGGCAGTAACTTTTCACAGTTCAGGACTTTTCCACAGTTCAGTGTTGCAGCTGTCCCTTGTTTTTCCCTGCCACCTTGGCACAACTAAACAGCTTCTTCTCTATCTTCCAAGGCCTATTTTCTATCAAAGCCTAGCACTGTCTCAGAGGCTGTGTAGGGCCGACAGGCCGATGCCTCCTACACTTAGCCAGGAGCTACCTGTCAATTCAAGCTGTCTTCTGCTATTTCTCGTTTTCTTTAACATCTAAATGGATAGTTCATGGTCTTTGAGAGGGTTTTGCATGAAGATTCACCAGCTCTCCCGAGCCCTTTGGCCCTTCAGGGAAGCCTCTCACTGGATATTGCCTACCAGTTCCTTGAACAAGTCCAAGTCTGCTCTTGAAATCTACAGTCTTTAGTCCACTGCTTATCTTCCTCATTTCTCCCAGGATCTTAATCTGTATCATCTCATGGTCACTGCAGCCAATATCTGCAACAGTCAGCAGCAGATTCGACTATTCCTTCTTTAAACATTTCTTTCGGAGTTGTGGATTCAGCAAAGCATCTTCCCCATCTTCCCCAGCCAGGCTGTCTAGCACCTGTATCAAAAAGTTTTCCTGAATGCACCTCAGAAACCTTACACATTGCCGAAGTCCATTATGTTGCCCTCCTAGCAGACATTAGTCCTCCATGAGAACAAGGGCCTACCATTGGGAAACTTCTTGTTTAAAAAAGCGTTCATAGCAGACATCCACTACAGCATTCCCTTCCTCAAGCATCCACCTGATTCTGAACAGATGGATGCTTGATAAACTCTCAGCATGGTGGTTCCATAAGAGAGCCCCATGTATTCAAGCTGCTCCTCCACGGTGAACACAAATCCCCCCTTGTCTGTCTTTTCTTCCTGAAGAGTCATCAATCATAGCACCTCCGTCATGCAATCTACCCTGTCACATCTCTAACTGCATACACAACTTCTAGTTCCCCCTCCTTGATGCCAAGGCAGTAGGTGTTTGTCAATATGCCCTTAATACGGGCCCCCACTCATCTCACTTCATCTGAGATATTATGAAAGCAACCCCCTTTGTGCACTTGACCCTTATACCCTAGACCATCACTTACACGCTGGATTTAGCACCTATCCCTCAGTCTAGCAGTCAAGGCAGTTAAGAAGCATCCTCTGTCCCTTTCTCAGGTGGATTCCATCTCTCCTCACCAGCCCTTATTCCTTCAAAAGGATTCTGTGATCACAAAAGCCAAAGCCCTGTCTCCAATCTCTTCTGAAAACTGAACAGACTAACACCTATTTGCATCAAAATAAAAATACTGTGGAAACAACTGGAAAGAACATCTTGCTCAAGTAGCATAGTGCAGACAACACTGAAAGCACAGATTAGACTGAACTAAAGCAGGGAAAAACCTGGCACTTGCAGGACAACATGATGTGCCTTGATAAGGTAGTAAACAAGACATTTATACAAATAAAATAGGACCATAAAGTCCTCAGCACACACAGTATGCTTTCTTCTGTGACTGTACAGAGACAGTAATCACTCAACAACATTTTATTTTCCTTCTTTCCTGCAACTACCTATCACCTGCTTTGGCATACAATACTGGTAAAGGCAATAAAAATTAGACATTATTACTTTGGTTTATATACTAAGTCACAGCACCAAACTATGCTGTAATTACTGAACACACACTTGTAACTCTCAACCTGTCGACAAGAAGACACTGTAATGAAAGAGTTTGTCCGAGAGCTGTAAGTCAAGGGACCAGGCAGAAGAAAAACGGGTTAAAAAAATGGCCAAAAGCATAGCTTTCCTGTTAAAACAACAGGAGCATCCCATCCATGGACTATGCATATCAAATCTTGCCCTAAGGAAAGCAAAAAAAAAAAAAAAAAAAAAAAAAAATCCTAACAAAAATAAGATTCATTTTAATTTACATGAGTGTTTACTATGAAGAACACTAAATATTCCAACCTCAATAAAAGCTTACTTACTAAAATAAACAAACTAGATTTTGGGGGAACAACATTCAGAATATATTAAGAGATAAAAAGGAGTTAGATATTTTATTTCAAACAAAAATTCCTAAAGATATAATTATTACAATTCCAGTTTAAACACTTCCAAACCCCAAATTATTCTGGTTCTTAAACGCCACTATACCTTACAAGCAGTCATAATGACTGTGGTTTAAAAATAACCAATTTTACTCTTTCAAGTCTACTTAAGCAACATAACAGAAAGTCCTACAAGTATGTATTGTTGTGAAAATAATACAATGGTAATATTTTTTCACAATATGCATTCGCATCTTCTGTCTTCAAGGAAATTACAAAAAACAAAACAGTTCTATTCCATGTTACCAACAAGACCAAAAAAAAAAAAAAAAAAAAAATAAAAAATCAGCTTGAAGTAAATTACTTCAAGCCTCACCCATTATTCAGCAGCCTTAGGACATGACTGTCATGCCTCAAGTACAACAATCCAAATTCAGTCTCATTTGGAAGATCTGAGATCAGAAACTGATTACGCAACTTGTATTTCATATGCAAAGTAACAATTCAAATAAACAATATGTTGCATGCATTCAAAGAGGGCTATACCAGTAAGACTAACACCTTCTGAAGCTCAAGTATTTCCCCTGAATTCAGAGATAAGCCCCTATCTTGCAAACTTAACATGAAATACTTATAATTCTAAATGACTACATACCTCCATTAAAATAATCCATTGTGTCCCTGGAATTATTCTCTATGCATGGAGGACCCAAACAAATTGTCTGTTCACTAAGCTCCATTCTCACTCTTTTAAGAACTGTTTTCAAACATAGGAAGGTGAAGCAAAACAAAAATAGATTAAACATTCTTACACTCAGATAAAGGTAAAAAAGGTCAAAGACATAGTCAGTATCTGAAAAAGCAACAAAGTACAGTGCAAAACATTGTTCATCTCCACTATGATTCTTCACAGAAACTTCAACTAATTAAAAATAAATTAGTAGTGTAATTGGTCAGCACTACATCATGTTATTTGTCCTTGTGATTAAAACAAACAATAAAAATATAGCTTAGGGTAAAAACAGAAAAAAAATTAAAGGAAGGTAAAGCAGCTGAGTCCTTTACCCCCTCAGCCCTTTTTCAGATTTTCCAATTTTCTAAAACTTAAATTCTCCCATCCTTCTTTCCCGATTCTTCATATAATTTACTGTCTGTTCTACACCTGCTGCAAATATCAAACATTTGACCTAGGAAGCACCTACTTGAAAGTAATGCATTTTGTTTGTTGGGTAGAGGCAAAGTTGAACCTTTCAGTCTCTTATGAAAAAGCTAAAATACTTCAATCCTTCTCACCAACGATTATATAGATAGAGCTGCAAAACAACTTCAGCAGTTTAATTTCAGTAACATCAACGGCATTTCAAGCATGCAATCACATGTTGCTTCCCTTATCGTCTATGTAGATCTTTTCTGAAAACCTTAAAGGTCATTCTTATTTTAGTGGAGCTTTGTTGGTTTTGTCTGTATTTGGAGGGATAACATTAACTGACAACATCAAATACTTAAATTTTGCTTTAGCAAGGAAGTAACAGCACTTCCAATTACAAATTAATAAATTAAAACATAGAAAATAATTTTATTCAATGTTAGAAATTTTTTATTCCATATTAAAAAAGAGAAGTACTCTATTAATCAAGAATCCTAGCTGGCTTCAGAAAGAAACTTACCTGAGAAACAGTGAAAACTCATCTTCCTAAACTGAAAAATGACAGAATCTGTACTAATAATATAAGTTATACAAAAGCAATTCAAAGTGGAAATCATATTATAGTAGTCAAACACTCCTTCCTTTTAAATAGGGATAATATTAACTCATCCAAAAACGCTGAGAAAAAATGTATGTTTGACAAGGAGTGACAGTATGACACCAGAAAAATGTCATTCAATTGTAATTGTTTATAAAATTCAGGGCACCATCTAAATGATACAACACACACACAAACACAGGTTTGCAACTGCCCCAGTCAACGTCTGCTGAAGGCTTTAAGCACCAAAAGCCTTCTAAATATCATTTCCTGACTGAGTGCCTAATTGACAGTCTTTAAATTCTTTAAAAACAGATTTGGTTTGAAGGTTGGGGTGTGTGTGTGTGTGTGTACAATTATAACTAATAGCATGCTGTATCTGTGACAACCCTTTTGCATGTTTATGGCTGAAGGAACCATCTCTGAGGGAAAACTGTTGTAGCATTTGTCACCTGAATAAAGCAGGTTTCATAATAACTGAAGCCTCATGTCATTACATAGTTAAGAAGCAGCAATATTTTACTCATGCTAAGACAGCAAAAAAGTATTCCCACCCAAAGGATCTTTTCCTCTATTTGCAAAGTTACATATAAAAGTCTTTATAAAGATTTCAAAGTATTTGAGTATTCTACACAAAACAGTTCAGCACATTAATCGTTTCTAAATTTATTCATGAAGTTGTTTGCTTCCTTAAGATATTATGGCTTCAATGAGATCAATTAAACATCTATTGTCCATTCCACTGGATGCATAATTTTAACTGACTACAGCTAAAGTCCTACAAATTTATATACTTATCTGGTAATGCTTTAGTGGAAAACTTATTTCTATATTCTACCTGCTGAACACCTGCTCTCCTCCTCATTGTTCTGAAAAGGATTTTGACCTGTATCACACATTGTGGAAACCAAAGTTCTTCACTATCAAAAAGATGCAATGGAGCTGTCCGAAGCATTTGCACCCTAGTCTACAGTTTGCCTTCTACTCCTTTAAATAGCTCTCCTCTATGTTTTTACCTGGCATGAAATAAAGCTGACACCTGATCTTGGATGTTGGTTTTAGATTGAAAACTAAAGTTCACACAGCCTGGACAGATGGTAGAAATAAATTATTCTTACTGATCACAGTCTCAGTAATGGTTGGATTTTCTGCTTTTCTACTACATTGTTCTGACAGATCCTTTGTTTTCATTTGATTTTTTCCAAGAGCAGAGGCTGTATTTTGAGATCTTTGCTGCTGTACAAATAGAACGTTATTTATCATTGCTTTCATTAGAAATATTTTATTAAAATATTTTCTCCTTAAAATAGAAAACTGAGCCCTCTGAGCACAGATGCTTATTTTACATCTAGAATGACACCTTTGCTAGCTTACAGTATTTTTCCCATGGCTGACTTGTGACACTATGTTTGGTTAGACTTAAACCAACAATATTAAAGTCCTTACTCCTACTAACTGTAGGTATCTGTGCCATCTCCACCAAGTCATGCATAAAGAGTCTGATGGAGACTGAAGCAAATAAGTGCTATCTATGGCCCCTCAATACTGCATCTTCATACTTTTAAATATTTCAAATAGCTTTACTTGGCAAAGCTGTCTGCTTGGTAGAACTAAGTTAATTTATCTCAACTTATTCTTACTGACTAAAAATATGAAAAGGGAGCATATTTTTAGACTGCAAGCTCTTCAGGACAGGGACAGTATTATTTTTACGACAGGAACAACAATGCTAGGATCCTTATACTCTACTGTTAATTAAATAAGTTGAAGAAGATAGATGGGTAACTATGATCAAAAGCTAGCGCTCTGACTATTTGTCCTTTTCCCTCCATTATTTACTGAAGTTGTTTGGATTTGTTTACAAAAAAAGAAATAACAACAAAGTTCTACATATATTTTTTTTCCTGAAAATGACTTAAGAACAAGCTTGCATTCTTCCCTTTAACTTCAATAGAAGCAAAGCTGATGAGAACAAAAAGCCATTTCCATTAAAATCCAGACCACATAATTTATCATTTACATGTAGCTGTTCTAACAAGTCTTTCATCAAAAGCGTTGTTCTGATTATCTTACAGGCCAGAAAAGTAAAGAAAGAAAAGAGCAAGTATATCCCAATAAAATCTTCACTTTCGACTTTGCTTTTTGAAAGTAAATACCCAGCTGTCACTCCTAAACACTAACTTACACATTCTACAAAACTAAGGTAATAAGAAATTGATGTGGAGGGAGGTTCACATTTTATAATACGTGCTTACACATTATGGGAGTAATCCTACATGTAAATGAAAGCAACGTAATTCATGCCAGGAACAGAGACACACACATGGATATACCGACTGGATGTCAGCCTCTGGCAGCTGAAGCAGAAGAGGAAGGAAACAATAACAGTGCTTAGGACTTGGGCATTCCTTCCACCTGGCAGGAAGCCCCCAACAGAACCTTCTGTGCTTGGCGATGCCCTGGGACACAACAGCATGGGTCAGGCCAGCCCTGGTGTCTCGGGGAAGGGAATTCCCGGGGAGCCTCCCGCCCTCCGCGGCAGTCCTGCCCCTGCGGCAGCTGAGGGAGGGCTCTGCAGGCAGCACAGCAGTGCAGCCCAGGCCGCAGCTGCAGGGGGGTCACAACAACATCTGGAGGAGGCTGCCGCCTCCATCCGAAGGGATCCACCTCCTCAGCTGGGGCACCCGCTGGAAAACCCTGCGGCTGCCACGCTGCTGCCCAGACATGCTGCCTTCCATGGGGGCGCTCATCGGTCACCAGCGGGGGTGCCGCAGGAATACTCAAAACGTAAAGGAGGGGATTGCAGACCGCATCCAGCAGTGTGAATCTGTTCCTTGTTTTCACTACTGAAATGCATTCATCGGTTTTCTTGTTCCCTTTTTGTTTGCTGTCAGGCCTGCCAAATCCCCCAGCCAACAGCGGGAGACACTTCAACCCCTCCTGCCCTCCCCACATGGGCTCTGTCC